CTGGGATGTTGATGGAGCACAAATATTTGAACAAAGGCTCTTTTTGGGATTGTAACAAATTACATGTCATTTACGGGATATGTTGATTAGTCATCATTTTTGGGATGTTGTTGTCTCTAGATTCTAGCAAAATCTATCTATACAACAAATTCACTCATACAGTTAAGTTAACTCAAACAATTTTTCATTCATACAATAACTCATTCATACATTAACTCATTCAATAACTGTGACAATTCAGACATCAACATACATTTAGTAACTCATACATTCAGTTAACTGATACATTCAGTTAACTCATACATTCAGTTAACTCATACATTCAGTTAACTCATACATTCAGTTAACATTCAGACATTGCCAATTCAGACATTCATAGTAGGTAGTTGTAGCTTCATGGGCCACCTTTACTAAACATTGCCACCAGCAGTGCCAAAAAATAGCAAGAAAGATCAGTGAACCACAACACACTGCCTTCAACTTCTTCTGTGGCTTGGCAAGTGCCTTGGCCTCAAGCTCCTTCACAAGTGCCATGGCCTCCTCCTTTTCCTTCACCAGTTTGGCCTCAAGCTCCTTCACAAGTGCCATGGCCTCCTCCTTTTCCTTCACCAGTTTGGCCATCTCCAAATGTGCTTCATCTAGCAGAAAACTGAGTTCGTTCTTCTCTAGCTCTAGAGTTTCATTCTTGCTACGCAAGACCCTAACTGCATCTCACAAATCAACAAGAATTTCGACCTGATGCTCTGTTGGCTTGGGATCAAACCACTCCCAGAAAGGGCATCCACCAGCCTAGCACCCACAGACATTCAGATTGTCAGGTAGACTATTACCTAGATTGAAATCAACACATCACAATGCAAATTGAACTCACCTTGTATTTGGGGCATGCATTGTACCTCCTTCTAGGATTTGCATTGCTCCATGAGATCCACCTGGGAGTCTTCTGACCACAGTAGCACTCCAGAGCCGGTGTGTAGGAGTAGGGGGGGTGGCGGTATGGAATTGGAGAGGAGTACGGGACCATACTGGATCGCTCCATGGAGCTCCGTGATGAGCTTGAGCCAGCAGAGGTTGCCATTGAGGTGTAACCCTAGTCGGCTGGCAGCGGCGGCGGCGGTTGGTAGTGCGAGCGGTGGCGGCACCTGGTAGCGGTCCCGGTGGCGAGGCATCGAAGGAACTTCGGCTGTGGCAATTTGGGGAATTCGAGGATTTGGGGACGGATTGGGGGGTATCAGACCGTTGGGGTAAGAGGCTGACAGGGTTGGTCCACTGGAGTGAGCCTTCCATATGGCTGGACTCGGTTCACCATGGGATGAGGCTGACTGGTGGGTCCATTATGGTCAAACAGTGGTCAAATCAATGATTCAAGCTCATTTTGAATCAAATTTGAACTGGATTTTCAATGTACTATTCAAGACCTTCATCAATGTACACTAATTGTCCAACTCGCACTCTAATGGTCATTGTATGGTCCATGTTAAGTGTATAAGTACACCAAGCATGTATAGCTATATGATCTCACACATCATATACCTATGTGTATTGATATAACCAAGCATGTGTATGATCTTTTCAACTCAAGTGCATAATTATATGTGTTGATATAAGCAAGCATGTAGACCTTACCTTATCAAGTGCTTAGTTATATGTGAAGTGCATATTATAGCATATATGTGTGTATGTATGTTATATAGTAACAAAGCACACCTTGCATGTATATGATCTTATGAAGTGCTAATCAAGTCATTCTCATATGCTCACATAGTATGTCATCTTATGAAGTGCTAATCAACTTACTAAATGTTTAAATTCATTGAAGCACACACATTATAGTTAAGTAGAATGTATGTTACATGTGTATATATATACAAAAAAGGGATCATGTATGTCTCCCTATAATTTGAGACCTAAAATATTATCATACTAAAAATTTTATGCGTACATCAGATATTATAAATACTAAAAAAACAAAACATTGGAATCATGTCCTTCATCTTACTAAATAGGTTACAAATACTAAAAACAACATTGTAAAGCATTATAATAACATGGTAATATCATTATATACAAACTTACTTTTTATCCCAATCATGTAGAAATTGTTGTCACATTTTTTTGAAGCAAATATCAATTTACAATTCAATAAAATAAACAGACATAAAAGAAAAAACCATTTAATTTTATTCTAAAAAAAAAGAAAAATGCTTTCCAGCTCCCGCCTAGGGGTTCTGGCGTTTGCGCGTTTCTCCCTGCCCAATTTTGGTGCCTCCGAAAACCCCCTACTGCCCTCCTCTGGCATCCGCTCCATTGAAAGTACACAGGGACAACATAGTAATTTCACCGAGGACTATATATTGGTCAATCCCCTCCCGCATCTCTTCTGGCCTCATTTCGTTTCACTCTGCCGCACCCACTCCGCATCCACTCCGCCACCGCCGCCCTAGATCCACTCCGCCGTCCTCTCATACAGCCACTTCGCCGCCCAGATCCACTCCGCCACCCAGATCCACTCCGCCGCCCTCTCATACAGCCACTCCGCCCCCCAGATCCACTCCACTACAACACAGACGGAGACGGAGGAGCCGTGACCTACGATGTCCACCCCACCAAAGATGGAGAAGTAGGACGTCGGCCACTTCATCGAGCCGCACCTCGACGTCGGTCACTTCATCGAGCCGCACCTCAACGTCGGCCACTTCATCGAGCCACGCAACGACGATGCCTAAACGGGCCACAAAAGTGCTCTGCCCCCCGAGCCTAGGTTCCTCTCCACTGTGCTCCTCATTTTAGGGTTTTGTTCTTGGTATTTGGTTCCCTTGTGTAGCGCCGTCTTCTAGTTGTAGGGCAATTCCACTAGATAGGGTTTAGGGTTTAGGGTTTAGGGTTTAGCAATCAATTCCACTAAAATTTGTTTACAAATAGGGTACTATGAACGGCTTCGGGACTTGCAAGTCACGGAGAACCTCAAGAAGATGGAATCCTTGGGTCTTCGTACCTTGGCTTCGGGACTTGTTAGTTCTCAGAATCCGAACAAGCAAAAACACAACAATGTAACTGATGAGCGGTCAGATTCATCCGAATATCTTCCTGGAGCTAAAGAGGGCCAGGAAGAAGATGATGATTTTGATAATACTAGCATAGAAAAGGTCTCTTCTCAATCTTGGTTGGGGGTTCTGGCATCACGCTGTCCGATATATATTATAATAACATATTTTCCATTATGTGTTAGGAAATTGACAACAAGAACAAGCAGACCAAGCGGGGTCAACCAAAGAAGAACACCAGGATGCCTCGGTGGAATGAAAAGGGTTAGGGCAACTAGACAGGCGATTCAGTTCTGGAGTTGCCACAAGGTCTGGGAAAAAGATACAGCACCACCTTCCCGTAGTCGAGAACACCGACACGCACTTATGAAGCAAGTTGAAGAACAAGATCCTGTTCTGGACTGGTCTGTTTTTGATGAGCAAACGAATGCGAGATGAACATGCTGTCTCTAAGCAAACCAATGCAGATGTCTCTAAACAGCTTAGAGATCTGTTCTGAAGGCAAGTAACAGATCATGCATTCTCACGTTCTTTGATTTAACGGTGGACTAGTCTAACACTCTCAGGGATACTTTTTGTAGGTCGACAACGTGCTCCAAGGCGACCAAGACCACCAACAAAGGGCAAATTGCTAGACAACATGACAAAGGCGATGGGAAGAAGGTTGCCAATTGAAATTGCTCCAGGGAAGAAAAGGCCTAAGAAGCCATTACAAGCTGCTAAGCTAGCTTCAGAGGCTGGACTTGTCATTAGGTCCAGCATGCCTGTCCTAACTCACTAGAAAGAATACAAGAAGGATGAAGACAACTATATGAAAGAATTCATCGGCCACTTATCTGTAAGTAAATACCTTCAATATCTATTTGGTACTTTCCATAAGTCATTGTATCAAATGCTAATAGCTAAATCTCATGACTTATTGACTTCCACAGAATAGGTTGGCAGTTGATGAAAATGATGACCCAACAAAGCAAGCCTGCACCAATCTACTCCAATCTGGGGTACGACATACTAGATATTTATTGAAGAAGTAGTACTTCATTGGTGTCCCAGCTGATCAAATTAGAACAACTTCCCCTATTCCAACTATAACTGATGAACAGTGGCTGGCCCTTGTGGCAAAGTGGTCTAGTCCAAAAGGGAGGGTATGATGTGCCATAAGACAACAACTTCTCTGTTTTGTCTACTTTATCTGCAACTTACTTGTTTTCATTTTAGGAAGTAGCTGAGAAGAACAAGACCAACCGTACTAAGGTCAAACACCATCAGTCGACAGGATCTCGCAGCTACATCTCACACTTGTACACATATGTAAGTGCTAAAAATCTAGTACAATACGTTTTCTATTTGTGTGTAGATACAGAAGCTAATTTTTCTGCATTTCTTTCTCAAACTACATACAGATGGAGAAAAACAAGGATCATGATGTCAATGCCGTGGAGATGTTCAAGGAATGCCATACCAGTAAGAAGAATGGTATGACAGATCAAGTCAAAGAGACACTTGTAAGTCCCTACACCTCATTGATGGATGGGTTGTGTACATATGTCAGTTTATATTCAGAATTGGTTGCTGGGTGCGATTATCATATGCCACAATTTGTATGATGTGTCTGGATGGTCCTATCTTTACTTGTGAAATTGCTTGAAGGGACTAAAATTGATTGCTGGCTGGGATTAAAATACATAGAAAAAATGGTCATACATGCTTACACCTATATATCCAGTTATATGCTTGCTGAAATGGAAAGCGCTTGCATACACATATATGCAGTTTATATTCTCATATGTAACATGGTTGTGTACACATACATTCTTGTAACATGGATTATCTGATGTTCTCTAATGATTGTCTTATCTTGTAACATGGATTATCTGATGTTTTCCATTTCTTTTCTTGAAACATGGTTTCAGTATAAGTAACTTATCAAATTTGCATCTCTCGATGTAGAGTGCCATGGAAAATATGTTGGCCCAACTCTTTGAAGGTTTAGAGACACCAAGATCCAGTACTGAAATTGTTTCCAAGGTCCTCTCACAAACCAGTGCTGCTTCTACATTCCTGAAGAATGCTGGTCTTCAAACACCAGGGTCAAAATCTGCTGGATCAGTTGCAAGAGAAGCACAACTTCAGGAACAACTACAGGCAGAGAAGACGCGGGCTGATCTACTTCAACAAGAACTAGACACCTTGAAGAAGAAAGGTGAAGAAACAGAAGATGCATTGGCCAAGACCCAAGAAGTAGTGCTCAGGACCCAGCAGGAGATGGAGGAGTTCAAGAAGAAACAAGAAGCCAATGATCTACTACTTGAAATAGATCTTGAACATCAACGCAGTAATGTGAGCTACTTAGCTTGTTCTGCGCTTGCTAAATACCTCTCAGTAGTTGCTGTAGTTACCCAGTGTCTTGAGCAAGTTGGTTATGTCACTTGTGAACGAATTTGTGTGTGAAGTGGTGGTTCCAATGATGTGTGTGAACTTGTGGTTCCCCTGTGTTTGGGAACTTTGGTTGTATGAACAATAAGTCTGACTGTGATGTATGAACCTGTGTTCTATGTTTGCTGAGGCTGGCCATGTATGGTACATATGCATTATTTCAAATTCGTCAAATGCCTATGCAAATTTCTATGACGAAAAAAAACGTCATTATGTCACGTGCTGCCATGTCAGCACCCACGTGCTGCCACATCAACGCCCACAGAACGCCTACTAGCCCAACACGTGTCAACCTACGAGCCCAACACGTGTCAACCTACGAGCCCAACATGTTTCAATCAAAGAGCCCAACACGTGTCAATCTACCAGCCGTACACGTGTCAACCTTGTGACCATACAAGTGTACACTGCAAGCCGGCTGAAATAGTTCAGTGACGGGGAAAATCGTCATGGATGTAATGATATCTATGACAAAATACACAAAATCGTCAAGGTGCAACAGCTACGACGCTACAAAGATGACGAAGATGATTTCGTCATAGCATCGTCACAAATATATGTCCATGACGTTTTTGGACTTTACTATGACAAAAGTGGATTGTCTTGGATATATCCTCAAGTTGCTGTTGCGCCTATTTTCACTGACGTACCTGATGCTACACTGCAGCAAGCATCTACTGCAACTCCAGAGCATGGTAGTGCCTCACTTGAGGGCAGCAGTGTCGCACCTACACAGTCAGCAGTAGCTGATTCGACTCTAGCTCATGGACAAAACCTGCAACCCATATTTGAGCAAGAAGATGATGAAGATCTAGAAGATGAACAAGAGGCCATTGAGCATCCAAGGATAAGGCAAAGCATACAACGGGATCATCCTATTGATAACATCCTTGGAAGTCTTCGAAAGGGAGTAACAACTCGTTCACATTTAGCAAACTTTTGTCAATATTACTCATTTGTTTCCTCTTTGAAGCCTCTTAAGGTAGAACAAGCACTTGGAGACCCAAATTGGGTGATGTCCATGCAAGAAGAGCTCAATAACTTCGAAAGAAACCAAGTGTGGACTTTGGTGGAATGACCCAATACCAATGTCATTGGCACCAAGTGGGTCTTCCGCAATAAGCAAGATGAGAATGGAGTGGTGACAAAGAACAAGGCAAGGTTGGTTACTCAAGGTTTCACTCAAGTAGAGGGCTTGGACTTTGAAGAAACATATGCATCGATGGCAAGGCTTGAAGCAATTTGAATGCTTGTAGCCTATGCCGCTCGTCACAACTTTAAGCTATATCAAATAGATGTGAAGAGTGCATTTCTCAACAGCCCCATTCAAAAACTTACTATGTTGAGCAACCATCGGGCTTTGAAGATCACAAGTTTCCCAACCATGTCTACAAACTCTAAAAGGTGCACTATGGACTTAAGCAAGCACCAAGAGCATAGTATGAATGCCTTAAGGAATTCTTGCTTAAACAAGGCTTTGAAATAGGTAAAGCCGGTCCTACTTTTTCACTCACAAAGTTGACAAAGATATATTTGTGTGCTAAATATATGTCGATGACATAATATTTGGTAGTACTAATCATTCTTTTTGTGAGGAATTTAGTAGGATCGTGACCAAGAGATTTGAGATGTCCATGATGGATGAATTGAAGTTCTTCCTTAGATTTCAAGTCAAGCAAGTGAAGGATGGAACTTTTATTAGCCAAACGAAGTACACCCATGATATGCTCAAGAAGTTTGACATGGTGAATGCCAAGCCTATCAAAACTCCCATGCCAACCAATGGACATCTAGATCTCAATGATGAAGGAAAAGTCGTGGATACTAAGGTATATCGCTCTATGATCGGCTCTCTACTTTATTTATGCGCATCTAGGTCTGATATTATGCTTAGTGTGTGCATGTGTGCTAGATTTCAAGCTAACTCAAAAGAGTGTCACTTAGTGGCCATTAAAAGAATCCTGAGATATTTAGTACACACTCCTAACCTTGGTTTGTTGTATCCTAAGGGCTCTAGGTTTGATCTACTTGGGTATTCGGATTCCGATTATGCCAATTGCAAAGTAGATCGAAAAAACACTTCGGGGACATGTCAATTCCTTGGACGGTCCCTAGTGTCTTATAGTTCTAAAAAGAAAAATTATGGAGCTCTTTCCACCACTGAGGCCACGATTGTTGCAGCCGATGCATGTTGTGCTCAACTACTTTGGATGAGACAAACCCTTCAAGATTTCGGATGTCACTTCATAAAAATCCTACTCTTGTCTGACAATGAAAGTGCCATAATGTTAGCCAACAATCCCTAAGCCACTCAAGAACTAAACACATAGACATTCGACATCATTTCTTGAGAGACCATGAAGCCAAAGGAGATATCAAAATTCACCATGTGAGCACCGAAAAATAACTAGCTGATATCTTCACTAAGCCTCTTGATGAGTTAATGTTTTGTGCTTTGTGTAGTGAGCTAAATATTCTTAATTCTCATAACGTGGTTTGAACTATAGCACACCTTGATTGATGAACTAGCATGGATAGGAGAAATGAATTGCAAAAGTATAAATATTGTGCTTAAAAAATTTATCATAAAAAACAAGTGCATTATGATCATTGTTTGTATTGATTATTTGTTGCCAATCATAGTGTGCTTGAGATATGTGTCAATATCCTATATATATATAGGTATTTAGTTAGTAGCTAAATTTACTGTAATAGGGAGTGTGGCTATGCCACGCCTGCCCTGCGGCAGTGCCGCACTTTGAATTTCAACTGAAATTCGGACCACGACATCAGTTACTGTGGGGGCCCATTTTCTTACCTCTTATTTCACCTGGCCCCCAGGGTAACCCTCTTCTCTTACCCGACACCGATGCCTCTCCCTCTTCTCTCACGCGCACGCAGCCGCCGCCACTCCTCTGTCTAGCGCTGCCGCCGCCTCCGGCTGTGTCGCGCCCTACTGCTGCTCTTGCTCATCATCACTAGCAGCAGCTGTAGCTCATGGATGGTGCCATTCTCTTCCTTTCCTCCTCAATCCACGTAAATCAAGGTGAAACCGTAACCTAATCCCGATCTATGCCATGGAGTTCTATATTTGTTGGAAGATGGTTTCTAGTGACTGCATGATTAGGGTAGAAACTAGTTTGATGGATGAATTGAGTCAAAACAATGATTCATTGGTTGAGCCTCATCTGTACCCGCGGCAGTGCCGCATATTGGGTGTGGCAGTGCCGCACTCAATAGATTGAACTTGTAAATGCAGATGTTGTTCCATCGATGACTCTCTGTTTTTGTTGGATTTGTGCACCAAATTTGTTTCTATCTTAAACTTATAGCCACTTTACCTATATTATAGACAACTCTATGTATTTGTTTAGGTCTACTCATTCTAAGATTGTCTAGTGGTTTAGGAGAATGTTTGAGAAATAGTCTAAATAGTTGAGAAGAATTGAATCGTGGGAGAGGTGAAGCACTAGGTGCGGCAGTGCCACTCCTAGGATGCGGCAGTGCCGCACCCTCTGACCTGATTAGTTAAGAGTGCTTTCCTAACTTGAGATTTGAATCATCTCATCTATCCAGAGTGTTTTATAAGTGTTCTTTTATACCCCTTATGTACAGTTTCTTATTTGGACCTATATTTGTTTGCATAGATGTCCTCTAGAGGTGATGATGGCCTGAGGGGGAAGAGGAAGATGACCGAGCCTCAGGATAAGCAGATGCCTTGTCGTGGTCATGGCAGGACCATAGGGGCAGTAGCAGTGCAGCAGGCAGAGATGTTGCTAGAGATAGGGGATGAGAGATCGATGATCAGATGATCCAAGATGAGTAGAACCTAGAGAGGGCTGGCCGCACCATTCCTCCAGGTGCTTGCCTAGATACTCCACCTCATCTTGAGGAGTTTCATAGGAGCTACATCAGAGAGTATTCTGAGGATGTAGTCATGAGGCATCCTATTGACACACGTGCTCATCCCGTGCTCAACTATGCGAGAAAGCTGAAGATGATGGAGGAAGCACGTGAGAACAATCCCTATGAGCAGCCAAAGGATTTGGAGATTGACTACAGCTTTTGGAATGAGTTTCATTCCAACTTCTATGCATCTGTGAACTTCAACTACAAGAAATCCAAAGTTGTCAAGATGCAGTATGTTAATTGGGAGGAGATGAAGGCAAAGAATGAGCCAGAATTCAATAAGGTGATCAAGACTTGTGAGTTGTTTGGTCTCACTGATATTATGAGCTTCAAATATAATTAGAATGAGGAAGTGCTAGCCCAGTTCCATGCCATTTTCTTCTATAGCATCTACACTGATGAGATTCACTGGATGACTGAGGGACGGCATTATAGAGTTGATTTAGTGACTTTCAACCAGATCCTTGGTTTTGGAGAGGAGGAGCGGGGTTCACTTATATTCATGATGAGGCTAGAGCTAAGATCCGTGATATTGCCTATATGTGGATTGACAGGAGAAGTGCAGATGGGAAGGTCAGTGGCCTAAAGAGCTATTATTATATTCTAAATAATTTGATCAGGCACACTATCAATCCCAAGGATGAAGCAGCTTCTGATCTTAATGGATATGTGAGGAATATACTTGCTAGATTTGCTCCTAGAGGTGACAGGTTTAATGTCCCTCACTTCATGTGGCATGAGCTGAGGAACGCCAAGGAGGATGAGAGAAAGGGGATACCCTATGCCCCCTATCTCATGTTTATTGAGAGGGTCACTGGCTACAGATTTGAGAAAGATGGTCTTTATACCGTCTATAAAATTGAGAAGACCCAAGGGGCATGTGCTAGCAAGGCAGTGAGACACTCTCCATCAGTTGAGGACGTGCCTGAGTCGTCCCGATCTAGGCCTCGCAAGGAAAAGAAGATGGAGAAGTTTGGAAGATGGATTAAAGCTATTTTTACCACATGGACCTATGCAGCAAGGACCGCATATCAAGACCGGTTGGAGAACCGTGAAGCCAACCGGAAGGCTAGAGAGCGTGCAGGGCTGCCACCTCTTTCTCTAGTTCAGTCACCGCCGAGGTTTGATGACCTCCCTAGTCTTTCTGAGATAGATTCTAATGACCTCTCAGTATTTATTTCATATGTTTTGTAAGCTCTAATTGGGTTGTCATCAATCACCAAAAAGGGAGAGATTGAAAGTGTAATCAAGCCATAATTGTGTGTTTTAGTGATAATGACCATGTAATTAGAGAATTAATGAGATTTATCGAGATGACAAGCAGAAAATTTATATTCGAGGATGCTACACGAAACGGAGGAGCCCCCAATTGCAAATATTGATGGCTTTAAACTCAAAGGAGGTTTAAATTCTTTTATATTTTAAATTTTAGTATAAAAAAAGTCATACTATAAAAGGGGACACAATGCTTAAGTTAATATATGCTACCAAGTGCTCAAACATACACATGCATCCTCATATTCACATCAAGACAATCTACACTTCACGCATACCCTTGTTGTCTTGCGTGGTGCGGCACTGCCGCACTTGAAGAGAGGCACTGCGGCACCGCCGCGACTTAAGTGACTGTTGGGGGCTAAGGGGTATTTATACCCTTCCCCTTCCTCCCCAACGGCTCTCTGTCTCTTCTTCCTCACTCCAGCTCGTCCAAAATAGAAAGGAGGCTCTCTCTCCCTCTATTATTGACCTTAAGCCCTCAAGCAAATCCATTGATTTTCCCATCAATTCTTGAGAGAAAAGGGTCCAAAACTCGATTAGAGAGCAGCTCTATTGATTCCCCAACTCAAAAGAGCACTTGGTTCATGTCTTGGTCGGCGGTTGTGTTTGTTACTCTTGGAGCTGGGCTCCTAACAAGCTAGAGTGTCGCCCGTGGAGCTTGCCAACTTGTGTGGCAACCCCGAGAGGTTTGTAACCATCTCTTGAAGCTAGTAAACTTACCCCTCATCTCAAGAGTTTAGTCTCTTGACTTGAGAACGAGGAAGGGTTGAAAAGCCCTAAGCCTTAGTGGCTAACCTCAACAACATGGAGGTAGGCAAGCTTTGGTGGCGAGCCGAACCACGAGATAAATCATTGTGTCACTTGTGCTTGATTTACATTACTTGCATTTCATATTGGTGGTTGAGGTGATTTCTAGGGTTTCTAGTCGATATACTTATGTGTGGTGTTCCTACAACTTCTAGCTCTTGATCTGTGACTATCATACCTGTAGTAGCCTGAGAAATTTCTCTCATCTAAGTTTCCGTTCACTGATTTTGAACTGTGACTCGAAGTTGTCTACAGGTGTGGCATTGCCGCTATTCTGGTCCGACAAAGCCGCAATCCGACAGTGCCGCCCTTCAGAACGGCAGTGCCGCAGGGTAAATTTGATAAAAGTTTGAGTGTTTGTTTTGACAGGCCTATTCACCCCTCCTCTATACCAACTAGAGATCCTACAAAACTTAAGATAAAAAAGTCAAACGAATTATAATTTAGAATAGATTTAGTATGTCGTCGAGGCCTAGGCAATTGAATGGAATTTTTAGACAGTCTTAGGCCTTGTTTAGTTGCTCCCAACTCCCAACTTTGGCGCTATGCAAAAAGAAAATTCCCCGTCACATCAAACTTGTGGTATATGAATGGAGTACTAAATGTAGAAGAAATCAAAAACTAATTGCACAGTTAGGTTGTACTTTGTGAGACGAACGTTTTGAGCCTAATTAATCAACGATTGAACAATTATTACTAAATACAAACAAAATGCTACAGTACGCTATAGTGACGTACAGTGAATCCGAGCGGCACCGAATTCGGCCAACTAAACAAGACCTTAGCTTATTGCAAGAAATGAAGAGACTTTGCCACTGCGTACGTCAGGCCCGCATTCTCAAAAAAAAAAAGTACGTCAGGCCCGCCCATCAGGCACGCACGTCATGACTCATGGGAGAAATGAATGCTTGCTAAAAAATGAAAACAATGAATGCGCATCTAAAATCGAATTAGAAAAATGGATCAAATCATGCGTCACCTGAAATTTGACTCCTATATATTCTTTCATGGACAGAGGAAGAGCAGGATAGTTCTAGATCTTCTAAAAACTTATAGTTATACTATTAGGCCCCGTTCGGCTTGAGGTAATTTTGATGAAAAACACAGTTCGGATGAAATGTTGTGAGAGAAAAACATTGTTCCGAATAAAAAAGAAACGGATCAAGCCAGGTTTAAAGACAGGCGAACGAGGCCATAGAAGATAAGATTTTTTTTCTCGCTCACACAAAAGGTTTACACATCTTTATATTAAGATAGAGAAATTATTCGATACAACACGCCTTAACAGCGTTATGGAGGTCACTAAAGATTTATGTGGACACTTATTAGATCCTCTTTGTATTAAGGTATACAAGATAAGATAGGAGGTACCTCCACGTATTTTCTAAATTGCTAGTTTGTAGTTACAGACAGGAGATCAAGTAAAGATGCTCTAAATCAAAAAGAAATGGGGACATACATAACTTGTGTATACAGTACAAATGAGGCCAAAGAAGTATTTATTAAATTTCACATGAAAACTCACTGAATCTGTGTCCGGCATATTTTATAAAAATTTGAGTTCTTGCAGCCACAACTTGGATCATTTTACTTCCTTGCCTAGGCATGCACAGCTAGCCATGAGAATACCCTTATTATTACCCGGCCCTGCAGCATCGATCAGGCATGGTTTTAATGAAGGGTCCGGAAAATTATAACAAATAAACAGAAAAACAAAGACGACAGAGAAAGCCACCAAACTCCTAACTCCCCCCACTCCAGTCCAGTCCCCAGGGATCGATGAACACCAAAGTCCAAAGTCCAAAGACCAAACACATGCATGCATGCGTAATGACAGTCGCCGCGCACGCCGTCGTCATCAGTATAAGGGGCAGTTGAGCCGGGGCGTCGGCACGGCGTAGAGCCTTGTGGCGCGCGGCGCGGTGAGGCCGAAGATGTCGCTCATGTCCAGCTCCGAGGGCTTCATCCCGTCGGGCAGCGACCAGTTGAAGCCGTGCGCGAGCTGGGCGACGGCAAGCTCCAGCGCGTACAGGCCCAGCGCCGTGCCGGGGCAGGACCGGCGGCCGGAGCCGAAGGGCAGGAACTCGAAGCAGCCGCCCTTGAAGTCGAGCCCCGCGGCGTCGCCCTCGGGCGTGAACCGGGACGGGCGGAACACGTCGGCGTCCTTCCAGGACCCGCGGTGGCGGCCGATGGCCCACACGTTGATCATGACGCGGGAGCCCTTGGGCACGGAGTAGCCGCCCACGACGCAGTCGTCGGCGGTCTCGTGGAGGAGCAGCGGGATCGGCGGGTGCAGCCGGAGCGTCTCCTTGATGACGCACTTGAGGAAGGGGAGCTTGTCCAGGTCCGACTCGTTCACGTTGCGGTCCAGGCCCACGACGTCGGCGAGCTCCTGCTGCACGCGGCGGAGGTCGTCGGGGCTGTGCATCATCTCCGCCATCGCCCACTCGATCGCCGACGCCACCGTCTCCGTCCCGCCAAACATCACGTCCTGCATGCGTCGTCGTACATACATACATACGCATCATCATTAGTTCGATATATCCATCTAGCAAACTAACAGAAAGAAAAACAAATAATAGGGAGCGTCTATATGACGGCACCACATGATCAGCATGCACTCGTGCTAGTTGTGTCCTTGACGGAAGCTTTGATTATTATTACATTCATTCTAGGACTTACGACATTTATATATTTAATCTATATAGACCAGAGATTGGCCGGATAATTGACAAGTGTGGGTGCTTTACCAGTTCAAAAGTTAGTACAAAATCGTGATGGTTTTTACTACTCTCATGATCTCATCACATATCCGTCATAGGTGGTAAACATTACTAGTGTTATTTACTTTGGAAAACAAAACGTTTGGTGCAAGATAGGGGAGCGGTACTAGTCAGAAAATGATACATGCTGCTTTTCTTTCTTTTCTTTTTTTACTTTGGAAGGTGACATGCACCAAGCCACCAAGGTGGACACAGCTTATCGCCTAGTAGTGCTCGTTTAACCCAATCTTAAAACAAAATGCACCAAAAAGTGACATGCATGCATGGTCTCCAATGGTTGGCTCGATCAAACTCGGAAGCTTTCATCACTACTTTCAAAGAACTCATATATAATACTATAATAATGGAGTATATATACGTTAAAGAATGATGCAGGGTAGTAGCCTAGTATACGTGCAAAAGTTGGGCGGCGTCCAACAGCATGTTCGCTGGGTCGTATTTGGCTTATAAGTCATGACTTATCAGCCAACGAACAGTATTTTTCTCTTACACCAAACCAGTCAACAGTACTTTCAGCCATGGCTTATAAGTCAAACCAGCCCAAACGAACAGGGCGCAAACTTTGTACGACGAGTTCCGTCATGTGCAAAATCGGACTAGACAAAAGTTAGTGCGTGGTGTGTGATATGAAACAAATCCATCAATGCAAATGTGTACAGTACTAGTGAGACTCAAGCATGGCCACATACTATAGTACATAGTATATCGTTACATATAGGTTACGTGTATGAACCAAAAAGAGGAAACGTGTCTAATGATGCAGATACCGACCGTGCACCGAACTGCGGCGCTTACGTACGTAGTGGAGTACGTCTAGCTAGTCAAATCACGAGTCTCCCGACACCAATGCAAGGAGGACACATGTACACCTTACGCGAACAAGAGAAACCGGAGTACGAATTCAAAAGAGGAAAAATATATACTGAAAGAGAAGGCGAAGAATATTGGGTTACGCCTTACGCGCGGCCTGACGTACTCTAAGCTCGATCCGCGGCGGGGGAAATTAAAGAGAGATGGATATATATTGTCCACATATATGCAGGAACCAACAAGACGACGACACTCAGCTCTGTCACCAGCTAGCAGAGAAAGCACCGAATCACACCTCCTACGACACATGCATGCCATTTATAGAGACATATACTTATCTGTATCTCAGGATTTTCTATATATACATATCGAATCCTATCGCCTGCACACGCATGCATGTTAGCACTGTTCATTGTCATGCACATCTCGATTTTCATGTGATTGATCTTTATAAGTAAGCGCAAAAACGACGAGTTAAGCAACGGACGATTTTGGCCGGACGGACGGGGTGTAAACTGGCGTGACAGCAGGAGCCAGGAGGTCAGAGGGATGACGTGTATACGTACCATGATGATGGCCTTGATGTTGTCGCGCGTGAGTCGGAGCGTGCTCTGCAGGTCATCGCCGCCGTTCGCGGCCGCCGCGCCACCCTTGCCGCCGCCTCCGCCGTTCACGGCGGCCGGCTTGGCCTCGGCGAAGAAGGCGAGCATGTCGTCGACCATGTCGGCGTCGGCGTCGTCGGGGCTTTTCCCTCGCCTCACGTGCTCGTCGATGATCTTGTCGATGAACCGGTCCAGCGCGGACCGGGCGGCGCGGAGGCGGCGGTTGATCCCCTGCAGGTCCATCCACCCCAGCCACGGCAGGAAGTCGCCGATGTTGAAGGCGCCGAACAGCTTGGAGAACTCCTGCAGGATGGCAATGAACTCCTCCTGGTCCTCGCCGTCGCGGGTGCCGAACGCGGCCCGGAACGTCACGTTCTTGGTCAGGTTGAAGATGCGCTCGCCCAGGTTCACGGCCACGGCCTCGCCGCCGGCGCCGACAGACGACGACGCCACGGCGCGGACTAGTGCCGCGCACTCGTCGCGCACGGCCACCCACGTCTCGGCGCGGCGCCGGCTGAAGAGCTTCATCACGCACAGCTTGCGCATCTGGCGCCAGAAGGGCCCGTAGTGCGCGAACGCCATGTCCGCGCGGTCGTACGTCAGGTACGTTATGGCGATGGTGGCCGGGCGGTTCGAGAACACGCCGTCCTGCGTCTGCAGCACCTCGCGCGCGTACTCGGGCGTGGACACCGCGAACGCGTGCAGACGGCCCATGCGGAGGTGGAGCAGCCCGCCGTACTTCTCGGCCAGCGCCGCCAGGCCGCGGTGGGTCAGCTGGTCCATCATCGCCATGTTGCCCACGATCGGCAGCGGCTTCGGGCCAGGCGGCAGCAGCGCTTTGCCCCGTCGTCGCAGGTGCAGGAGCACCACGGCCAGCGTGACCAGGAACACGCAGCTCAGAGGGTCTTGGAGCCACTCCAAGGCGATCTTGGCCACGGCCGCCATGATCGATCGGCAGCACCTTTTTTTTCCTTCCTTCTTTTTGTCGTTTGCGTTTTGGATTGTGGACTTGGTGTGGTGGTAGAACGCTCTTCGAGTAGAGCTGAGGAGAAAGGGGAGGAGCACGGGTTATATATAGCCGGGGGAGTAGGTGAGGACGAAGACTCACAGATTGGGGATCAGATAGTTGTGGCTAATGGCAGCGGCGGATCCAGGAAATATTTTAGGGGACTAAACAACACTGCTGCTCGATCTTAAGTCTCAGCCTCTTACACTATAGAACTTTACCTAAAAATTCATGGGGGCTCTATAAGGGTTCCACTGATCCGGATCTCTTTTAATATACACATATACATTTTTATTTATTCTTTTTTTATTCGTTTCAAACTGAGTTATGGCTCGCCTGCTAGGTCATGAGAAAGAGATGGAGCAGGAATACTCACAACTCCAAGAGACTCTATATCTTTCCTGATGGTTAAGAATAGAGATTTTGGTAAAAAAAACTTACAGATTGGGTTGTGGCTAATGGTGATAGAAATAGGATTTCTTTTAATACATATTTATTTATTTATTTATTTGCATTTGAAATTGGGTTATGGTTTGTCTTCTAGGATCATGAGAAAGGGATAGAGTTGGAGTACTCACACAGTTGACAGTGAGAACAAGGATATTAAATTAATCCTAGAAAAATATTAATTTACTAGAGCACAGCAGGTTTTCTTTTTAACCCCTCAAGTTTTTTTGTGTATTATGCTATACTATGCAGCAAGTTAATTAACGGATGGATTCGGTGGAATCCATACTAGGCACAAATAGAAAGGCTTAATTTACAAAATTTTATTTCTTAGAATGCTACTCTTTCCTATAATAAACAGAGAAATGATCACAGAGGCACTACTTTAGCTATGAAATTCTATAAATATAGTTGAAATATATAGCAAATTAAAATATATCAAATTAACTTTGATGAAAGATCTAGCCAGACTATTTTCAAAAATCTTTTGAATATAATATTCATAGACATAGTGATGGTCAATTTCAAGACGTGTTGACTGCATACATGCAAAACAACAGTTACTTATTGTGATTATTGGAAATATTACTGTGCTATTAACTAAGTAGCCAACTAGACAGCTTGTTTTTTCCAGCTATTAACTATACATCTTGTTTTTTCCGGCTATTTATTCCAATCAGCTTGATTTATATATGAGCATCAGCATATCTTGGATTTTTATGCAGCTAATAATGTTGCATGCACTAGATGGGTCAAGGCCAAAGGTTTATTTGGGAGAATTGAAGATTAGATTAAGATAATTGGGGATGGGGGTAGGATCTCATTTTCTACATTTTGTTTTCTTATTTTCATTTGAAAACAGATTATTGGTATGTCTTCCCTGATCATGAGAAAGTGATGTGGGTAGGAGTATTCATACAATTGACGCTTAGAAAAGGATATTAATTGTAGCGAACTATGGATTCACTAGAGCATTGGTCGGTTATCCCTTAGGGTCTTTTTGAACGCACGAACTTCACAAGGATCGTACATAAATCTTACATGATTCTACTCAATTTTATAGAAAAATGCAGGAATAGGAAAAAGTTTATGTGTTCCAAACATGGCCTTAACTTCAACCTTTTCCTTCAAATTTTACAGAGTACAATGCTAGTATTCAGAAAATTAATGAAGGGATGGGCTCCTTATGTCTGAAAATTAAAGGGGTGGTAGGGTAGGGGTGGGATCATGAATTTGGACCGATAGCAATAAGCTTGTTTGTGCTAGTTCAAAACGTGTAGCTCAGATGGAAATCTAATAAGCACAAAAATAAAGGATTAATTTAAGAAAAATGATTTCAAAGAATCTCACTCTTTCCTATAATAAACAAAATATTGATTTTTTTGTGAACAAACAAAATATTGTTTTTGTTTTAGCCAACAAAATGACCACTTTAATTGTGAAGATATTGTATGAATATGTTTATAATATATAGCAGTTTATAATATTTTGAACCTAATACCGATGAAAATCTAGCCATACCATTTTCAAAATTTCATTTGAAATTAATATTCATAGAGATATTGATAGTCAAATTCCATACATGTTGACTGCACAATTCCAAAACAACAGTTACTTGTTGTGATTGTTAGATGTACTGCTATACTATTAAATAGCCAACTATACATCTTGTTTTTGGATATTTATTCCCACCAATTTGATTTGTGTATGATCATCCATGTATCTTGTTGGATTTTTGCTTTAGATGGATCAAAGGTTCATTTGGAAGAATTGAAGATTAGGTTGAGATAATTGGTGATAGGAATATATGATCTCATTTTCTACATTTTGTTCTATTATTTCCATTTGAAATTAGGTTATGGTATGCCTTCCTTGATCATGAGAAGAGGTGGAGTAGTAATACCGATGTGCCTGATATTGACAAGAAGGATATTAATTGTAGCAAAATATGGATCTAGCATAACACCAAAATATGGACTCAGTAGAACGTTAGTAGCCTTTCCTCCAATGCCAACAATTTCCCTTGAGGTTGCGTTTGGAAGTAGGTATTGAGGCTCAGAATTCCGAATTGGAATTGCTAACTCCGAATGCCGCTGTTTGGATGTCATGGAATTTGGAATTGGAAATAAAACTCAATACCAACCGGTATTGGTCCCGCTCTCACCCCTTCACCCTTGATACCGAGCCGAGCCTTCCGTATTCGCTGGAATTGTGTTGCCCCGTCCCCCCGCGTCTCTCTCTCACCCCCTTCGTCTTCAACACGAGAAGCTGCGCCACCGCTCCCTACCTCCCTCGCGTCGCTGTCGCTCCCTGCCTCCCTCACCGGCGGGCCGCGCCGCCCCTCCCTGCCTCCTTTGCCGATGGGCCGCCCCGCCCCTCCCTACCTCCATCGCCGGCGGGCCTTGCCACCGCTCCCTGCCTTCCTCCGCTGGCGGGCTGCGCTCCACGAGGGCGGAGGGGGTGAGATGTTGTCTGTCAATTCCAATTTGATAATATGGATATCCAAACATAAATTGGTATTTGCCACTCAGTTGAATTCTATCTAGCAATTTCATCTGCATCCAAACAGTACCTTTGGTATTGTATCCATTTTCAAAACTAGTCTGATTTGGTATTCAAACCCAATTCAATTCCAAGTCCTTCAATATCTACATCCAAACGAAGCCTAAAATTTATTGTGTATGAACTGATCAATGGATGCAATCTTGGCGTCTTAAAAATTGAAGTGGTGGTGGTGGGGATGTGAATTGGAACCGGCAACAATAACCTTGTTTGTGTCAATGTGACTAGTGGGTTCAAAATGTGTAGCTCATATGGAATCTACTAGGTACAAATTAAAAGGTTCAATTTAAGAAAATTGATTCCCACACCTTCCCGTAACAAACAAAAAGTTTTTTTTGTTTTGTTTAGACAGCAAAATGATTAGGAAAACATTACTTTGACTATGGATAAGTTTGTATAAATATGTTTAAAATATGTAGAAAATTATCAAATCTTGAAATTGATCTTTAGGCACACAATTTTCAAAACATCATTTGAAAATAATATTCATATAGATAGTCAAATTACAGACTATTTTTTTATTGCACACGTTAATTGCAAATAGCAGTTACTTGCTATGATTATTAGAAGTACACCTATATTATTAACTAGCCTACTATACATCTAATTTTTCCTGGCTATTATTCACACCAGCTTGATTTATTAGGAGGATACTGTATCTGCTTGGATTTTTTGTAATAATTAATTTTTTGCATGCGCTAGATGGGTCAAAGGTTCATTTGGCAGGATTGAATATTATTGGGGGACAGGAATAGGTTCTTGGTTTCTACATTTTTTTCATTTGAAATTGGGTTATATTATGCCTTCCCTGATTATGAGTAAATGGAACAGTAATATCGATACAATTGATACTGAGAAGAAGGCGGTAGAGTTTTCTTTTGGCACAACCTTTTCCTTTGAAATTTAGTGTGTGTAATGTTAGCGATTAGCAAATTAATTAAGGCACAAACTCCTGGTGTAAACTACTAGTATATTTAGATCATGTTTGGATTCATTAGCTGATAATAGTTAGCTAGCTAATAGCGTCTAGCTAATATTAGCTCACTAATTATTAGCTGCTATTAGTTGGTTTGATCTAACTATTTATTAGTTAGATACTCAGGTAACAATTAGCTAGACTATTATTTAGATCCAAAAAAACTACTCCCTCCGTTTTAAATTATGTCGTTCCTTTTGAAGATACATATTTTTTACTATGCATCTAGATATAATGTTTATTTAGCTACATAGGAAAAGCTATTGCCCTGTTCGCTTGGCTGATAAGCCATGGCTGAAAGTATTGTTGCTGATTTATTGTAAGAGAAAAATATTGTTCGTTGACTGAAAAAGTACGGCTTATAAGCCAAACGAATAGGGCGAATAGAGTTGCTAACTGGTACCGTCTTCACAATTTGACATCGAATTAGAAATGAAGTCCTCCTCAAATCCACCAAAATGTCTTATAACAATTGCGTCGCCGCTGTCTCATTGGTTAGTCAATCTCTCTCTGCTGCTTGCCACTCATCCGATCTGAGATTAATTTAATGATAACCAATCTCTCTCTCTGCTGCACCCCGATTCCAATTCTGATCCGATCTGAGATTAGTTTAATTTCCAACTTATAATTTAAAAATAGAGGGAGTAATTATTAACAGCTAACTATTAGATCTATAGATCAAAACAGGATCTTATTAGTATTAACTAGCCAGCTATATATCTTATTCTTCCTGGTTATTTATTCTCACTAGCTTGATTTAGATATGAGCATCAGTATATTTTCTTGGGTTTTTATGCGCTCAATGTTGCATGGTCTTCTTGGGCCGAAGGTTCAGTTGGCAGGTGCAACCTGGGCACATCCGTGAACCAAACACTACTTGAAATCGTTTAAAAAAACACTACTTGAAATCTTGAATGCAGATATCGAGGTGTCAGCTCAGTTGTCGCTTTGTAA